GTTCAGAGGAGTAGGTGAAATTGGAGGGGGGGGGGGGTCCATGCTAGGCCCATCCGGAGTCCAGAGTCACATGATGTTATTGTCTCTACTCAGTTCACTAGAGTTCAGAGATTTTCCTCCAGTTTAATTAATCAGTTATTTAACTTGATAGCTACCTTTCTTACTGCTGCATTTCCACTTTCTACAGTCTGAGCATCATGTGGAGTTTAGCTTCTCGCTCCTACAGGGAGCAGTTTTTAGCACGTATTCCAAAACAAAAGCTACACTCTCCTTTCTTCTGTCAATCAATCCCAGAGCTAATCCACGGGCAGCATTCTGCTGATGTCAAAACCGTAAGCATGCTGTACTTGCTTATAGAACCACTGACCGGAGAGGAGGTTCTGAAACAACGCGGCTGTGCACAGTTGGAACCATGGAGACACTTTTGGACCGAGGCTGAACTGAGCTGAACCACATAGCTGCTGCCAGTGTGGAGAGCAGAGCCTGGTTCTCTCTCCAGTTTAAAACATACGCGGTTCTGTTCCCCCACAGAAAACTTGTGCGTGACAATTTTGCACGTAGCTGCAATGCTGTTTTTGATGAAAATAGAATAGAAAGTACTGCCGACATCGTTCCTACTTCTTGCTACTTTGTTAGCGCAGCATATTGTTGTGATCATGTGGGCTCTGCATGCTGGATCCAAGCGCTGCTGGATAGAAACGCTGGAGCGGAGTCAGTGGACTGCTGGATTGGACTTATATCGGAGATTTTTTTTATGCAGGCCGATAAAATCCAATACTCGTTTTTTGGCTGACATCGGACCGATATCCGATGTCTTTATCAGATTGGGACACCCCTAGTATTTCCCTTGGCTACTACCACACTGAATCTCAGCTCAACATGACTAAAAATATTCAAGTTATGGTAAATTTTACATTTTAGCAATATAATGTCGACATAATGTCGACATTATGTCCGACAGCTTGGTATACATCTTGGATTTTTAGGGGTCCAAGCCCGAGGAAGCAGGGTAACGCAGCTGCAAAGCAGCAGCGTTTCCATGTCTCCATCGGAGCATGGAACCCTATTGTA